ACACAGTGTCTCCTCCTCCTCTCCCCCCCCCCCCCCCCCCAAAAAAGTGCTAGTAGAGAAAACTCAGGAACATGATACATTCAATAGTGCTGTTAAAAACTTCTTAGAAAATAATGTCATTCTGAAGAAGCTGCTCAGCCATTATCTGAAATGAAGCATCTCTAAGATATTTTTGGCTTTGTTTACATGAGATTTAGGACTCATCTCAGTAGGCAAATAAATTAAAATTAAGGTAGTATGTGAAGTTTAAGCTCTTCCTAAATAACTGTGTGGGTGCTCTTCTGCCACTTAAGAATGCTTTATTTTAAGTTAGCTTGATCCATTTCTAGAGCATCCATGCAGGAAGAACTCCCTCTGTAGAAAATCTTCTAAACCAGTGCAACTTCTTTATATGGACAATCCTTATCTTGGTGTTAATGTCTTATTTCAGTAGAGTTGAAACCAATTCCAAGTCACCCCTTCCATTTTGACCTCAGCAAGTTACAGAGCTGTAAAGCGCCAGTGTGAACCAGGCTATAGCACTGGGAGCTGTACTCCTAGTGCTGTTAGCTTACTCCCCTTGTCATGGTGGTTTTCACTCTCTTTGCACTCATGCCGTGGTCTCGCTTTCAACCCAAAAAGTGCTGCCATGGCTGCACTTTTAAACTATTAATTGTAAACATATCTAATTAAGTGCGACTTTGTTTTGCAGACAAGCACTTATTTCATGCATTGGTGGCGAGAAAAATTCAAGACAATAGAAGTATAAACTAAGTGTCTCGTTCTCTGAACAAAAGCTAACTAATTCAGCTTTCCCCTTGCGGTGGGTGGTAAAGAGAGATGTCTGTGAGAGCTTGTATACTTGTAGAACTATACTTCTTGTACTTCAAATTTCGACCTCCTGTAATCTGAGCTGACTTTCAAATATAGACAAGCCTGAAAAGGCAATTCTTGTGAGTTGGGGGAAAGTGACTTTGGGGAATAGAACTCCACATCCAGACTTTTTAGGAAACTGTTGAACCAAACGCTGGTCATTATGTTTTAATCTCTTCGAAAAACCTTCATTTATAAATGCAAAACAGTTTCTTGAGAGAGGGGAAGTTTACTTAATACAACTGTGGTGGTGGTGGTGGTGGGGTTGATTTGGGAATTGGAGTGTGTGTGCATGCATGCGCTACAGGTCAATCGATTATCCTTCATTCCCCAGAGAAAAAAATCTTTTTTTTTTTTTTTTTTTTTTAAATAATAATAGAATGTAACTAATGAGCTGGAGAGATTAATTCAGTACAGTGTATAGTACATGTACCACAATAGATTTATTGTGCATTTCCTTTAGTCAGCCGCTGGTCAGTTTCAGCAGCAGCTGAATCTGGACGCCAGTTCCAACTTACATACAAATTCAATTTAAGAACAAACCTACAGTCCCTTTCTTGTACGTAACCCAGGGACTGCCTACCAACCCAGCAGCACCCCAGCTGCTCTGCCCCCAGGCATGTCCGATTCAGCCGCTGCTGGTCAGTTTCAACAGCGGCTGAATCTGGACACCAGTTCCGACTTAAATACAAATTCAACTTAAGAACAAACCTACAGTCCCTATCTTGTACGTATCCCGGGGACTGCCTGTAACACAATTTGATGACTAATTGTTGCATCAGTTCAGTTCATAATTAGCTGATAAAACTATTCATTGGCTGAGATTTAAGAATTGCTTCCCTTTTTCTTTCAGAAAGTAATCTTCACATCTGAGGGACAAGTGGGTAAAATGTTTTCAAATGTCAGCCTATGTATAAGTAAAAATTTTAAAATTATCAATGTGTTTGCTGGCAACCATGTCTAAACCATTGATGTGAAGATAGAGGTAAAATGTACTGATGAAGATTAGAACGTATGGAGATGTCTGAATCAAAATGATTATATACAAAGTTTCTTCAACTTCTTCAAAAGTCTTGAAATGTGTGTGTACTCCATGTGTCTATGCCTGGAAGGATTTTTTTTTCCATGTACGGTATCCTTTCATCTGCACGTACTCCTTTATTGTGCGCCCATCTGATGGGATAAGGTAAAGTGCAGACTGGCCACTTCTGTAGTTTCTTTCTACTATCTGTGGTGTGAGATGGAACATCGCTAGTATCAACAGCTTCAGCAAACATGTTTTGTTTTATTTGTTCCCCTTTTCCATCTAATTCTTCGTTTTAGTGTTAGTTTTGGAAAGCTGTGGGGGTTTCATCCCCACCCATCTACCTGAATTGAGTGCCTATCATGCCTCAGTCCTTCTCAAATAGTGAAGGTCATGACACCTACCTGTATTGCCATGGGGAAGCAGATATTCCCTCAAGTGTTGTATCTACTGGACTTTCCCTTGCTGAGCCCCTCAATTTTGTGAGTTCAGACTTCATACTTCCTTGATGGATTGTTTGAGACAAGTCTGACGCTGGTACATCAATCCAAAGCATGGGAATCAGCCCTTTGTACACAGTTGTAGGATTGTTTTAAGTAGAATTAGTGACCAGTAGGGAACAGGGAAGTCAGAAGTTTAAGGAACAAGGACAGTGAGCCAAACCCCTTTAGGTTCTTATCTAATAAAAGGGCTACTTCTCTGATCCATTCTTATGTTTGGTGTGAGACTGTGCCTCAATACAGATTTATCAGGAGCTCAAAGAAAACTTAGTATCTGTCTGTTGGCACAGAAAACTAAAAGTGGTCTGAAACCACTGTATAGTGGAGTATAGTGACTACTAGCCAAATTAGCCTTGCTGAAAGACTGAAGCATGACAGTAAAAAAAAATAAGATGAATAATTGCCATATTCCCAACTTACTTCATGTATTTATGCATTCTCCATGGAAGATGGTTCATATGTGTAAATGTGAATCAATATACCACAATCTTAGATGGAAAATTGCTCTAAAAAGGTGTGAAGGGACCCTTTCTCTCTTCGTACTGCAGTTGCATGCAGGAGTTCATTGGGGAGCATGTTAGGGGAATGTTAGTGTGTAATTGAATAGTCATGTAAACGCACAAATATTGTTTGTTACATGACTATTTGATAATCCTGAGCACAGGGCCAGCAGCCAGTCTCACTCCCAGGGAACTCCCTGCCACACTCTGCTGCTGCCTCTATATCAGAGGCAACAGTGCAGGGTGGCAAGTGGGAGCCAGTCCGCAAGTGAAGCCTGTTTAAAACAACAGGTCCCCATGCGGAGACTGGCTGCGTGCCATCCTGCGCTGCTGCCTCAGATACAAAGGCAGCAATGCTAGGTGGCAGAAGCCCCTGTGTTGTGTAGGTGGGGAGGGGAGTCCAAGCTCGCCATGAACAGGCTGCTCTGCGGCAGCAGCCCCTGTCCATGGGGAACTCTGGCCCCTGTGGATAAGGGCTGCGCCATGGGATGCCAGAGCAGCCTCTGTCTTTGAACCAGGCCTGATGCAGCGAGAGGCTATTTTGTATCAGGCTCCCCTGCTCTCCCCTCCCAAAAGCCTGTATCCGTAGGAAGCTCAGAACCCAGTGGACAGGGGCTGCTGCTACCCCATGCTGTTGTCTCTGCTGGTCCATGAAGGGAACTTGGTTTTTAAACTGGCCCCCCTTGCAGACCTGCTCCCACCTGCCACCTTGCACAGCTGCCTTTGATACAGAGGCAATAGTGCAGCGTGGCAGGGGGCTCCCCAGGAGTGGGGCTAGGAGTGCACTGGCTGTCAGGCCTGCTCCCGGGGACTATCAAATAATCATGTAACAGACAATATTTTGTACGGTTACACAACTAGTCAATTAACCAATATCCCTAGGCTGGAGTGATATTTCATGTTTAGAAGGTAATTGTCCCTAAGCAGAAGGATCGCTCTAATGGGTGGGAGGAGGGGGGGGAACCATCCAAGCCAATCTCCAATTACATCAAGCTTTGATCCTTTAGTATTGGCAAGTTAGTACACATTCTAGGACAAATTTATTTCAAGTATTTTTAAATTGCTTTAGTGTTGTTTTGAGGCATATTTTATTTCTATGTAAATCATTTTTATGAAGATTTACTCCTTAAAAGTACAAATAAAAAAATTATGAAATATTTTAACAGGATCTTAATCTGGATAGCATAATGACACACTCCATCACAGCCATGGCTACCTCAATAGCATTCCTCTGCGACGTTTCCATAAGAGACATTTGCACAGCTGCTACATGGTCTTCCAACTACATGTTTGCAAAGCACTAAGCACTTATGCAGGAACCTTTCTCCAAAATAAAACTCTCTAAGGCGGACCTTTCCACTTGATTTCTGCCACATCCAAAGTCCCTACCTCCCTAACCAGAAATAGCTTTGTAGTCCGCTAATGTGACGCACCCATGGGAATGTGTCTCGAAGAAAAGGAAATTACTCACCTCGACAGGAACTGACGTTCTTCAAGATGAATGTCCCCATGGGCGCGCCTCAACTCTCCCTTCCTTCACTCTACTTCAGGATTCTGGTCTTCTCAAAGGTATTGTTCCGGGGTAGAGAAAGAATGGGGGTAGAGGGAGGGCTCGCACATGCACGATGCCTGCCACCTGAGAGCACATGGCCCAAGGGACACTGCTCTGAAATCTCTGATCTAAGGCTCGACGGCAGTGCACCGATCTAATGTGGAGCGCCCTTGGGGACACTCACCTTGAAGAATGACAGTTAATATCGAGGTGAGTAATTTCCTCTTATTTACTCGTTCTCATAACATAAGGACTAGGGGT